CCCAAAAAAAAAAAAAAAAAAATACAGAAGCAAACAGGTCCACGAAACCACAGCCTCAACTCGTCGCTGCAACCTGAAAACAAACGAAGACGAGAGAAGAAACAGAAGAAGAAAATGAAATTTGAAAAAGAAAAATGGAAATGTGTTGTTTTTAACACAAGTTCATCAGTAAAATCTTGGCGTAGAAGTGAAAACAGAGAGACGAGGAAGGGGTTGGTTGGGGACTTCTAGGGTTTTTTGCTTCTTCGATGTGAAATTGATATCCAAAGCATGGGAGAGACCTGTCCGATTGAAATCCAATATTTCGCTACCGAAATGTCGAAAATACCCCTTCACCTCTGTGCCAGTGAAACAAACTATAAGCGCCATTATTCCTTCCTGCTTCCTTTTCTGCTTCTTTTGGCCAAATTACTAAAAATGAAAATGTAACTTTTTTATATTTTTTTAAAATATATCTATTTATTACGCCATCTTTTGTATACATTTCAAAACTAAAAAAAAAAAACGTTTAAATTTCTATAAAATAATCCTTTTTTTTATATTTACTCGTTTAATAGCTGTCACATTATTTCATATCACCACCAAAAAAAAATTTTTTATAGGCTACCATATGAGTATTAAAGGATATGCATATTATTCTATCAGGTATATATTATATGATTGTACTGCTATGGAAGGTGTTTGAGGATAAAAATCACAAGTCGATCAATTTGGGTAATGATCACAGGTTTATAATCATGAAAAATTATACAAATATCATGCTCTTAATATTTTCAATTATTCCTTAATTGTAGAGGCAGAGTAACTTTTGTAAGATAATTAAATTAAAATAATTAAACTCTAAACCCTTTCATCTTACTCAATATTCTCACACTCTCGAACTCCCCTTCTTCGTCCTTTCACACCGGCTCGTCCTTATTCCTTTCAGCAGCTCAGTGCCGCCGCCGTCGTCTTTGTTCTGCCCGTTCCGGAGCTGCTTGCCTCCTTGCGGAATCGCAGTGATTTTCTACTCTCTTGTTGTTATTGGTATTCTCCAAATCTCCATCTAATGTAATGTTGTGTCTCTGTTGAGTGAGTTTTTTCATTCCCAATTTTAGTTGGCGGCTTCTTTCCCTGACTTTCAGATTTGCATTTGTAGGAGTAAATTCTCCATAAACATGGCGGAGCTTCTATTTGATGATATTTTCAAGGTCAAGTGCGTCAACCCAGATGGTAAAAAGTATGATAAAGATACTTTCATGAAGCTTGTAACTGCTCTCTCATTCTTTTAATTCACATTTTATGATCTTTTAACTGTCTATGAGTCCTTTTGTAGACAGTAACTTCTGCACCATCTTGACTTTTATGTGAATGATTTGATATGATGTTTATTGGGTGCATAAAATTGTTCTTATAGTTTCTAGAATTGAAGCACGGAGTGAGAAGCTTTCCATGTATATGCTGCTGGATGTAAATACAGAGATATATCCAATTGATGAAGGTGACAAGATTCTGATGGTCCTGTCTCCTACGCTGAATTATGATGGAGCTCCTGTTACCAGCTATAGTGGTCAAGTAATATTTCTCCCCTCAATGTTTAATTGAATTTCATACAATCTTGGTGCTATCTGGTAGTCGTTTCATGTCTCTTCATTGTTTAAAAGAACACTCGGAAACACCTTGCTGCTAGATATCTGCATCCATATGTATCTTATAGATTCTAAAAGAAACGACCAATGATTTCATAATCTTTCTCTGATGCTGAAATTTTGGAGAAGGATTTTACCTAGCGATCTATAATAGCCCAAGCTCACTGCTATGAGACATTGTCCTCTTCGAGTTTTCCCTTTCGGGCTTCTAAACATGTCTCCTAGGGAGAGGTTTTCACACCCTTATAAGGAATGCTTTGTTCCCCTCTCCAACTGATGTGGAGTCTCACAATCCATCCCCCTTCGAGGCCTGATGTCCTTGCTGGCACTCGATCAACTCTCCAATCGATGTAGGATCTCACAATCCACCTCTCTTCGAGGTCCAACGTCCTCGCTGCCACACTGTCTGATGTCCACCCCCTTCGGGGCTTAGTGTCCTCACTGGCACACCGCCCGGTGTCCATCCCCCTTGGGGCTCAGTGTTCTCACTGGCACACCGTCCGGTATCTGGCTTTGACAGACCCATCAATAGCAAATATTGTCCACTTTGGGCTTTTCCTTTTGGACTTCTCCTCAAATTTTTAAAACGCATCTGCTAAGGAGAGGTTTTCACGCTCTTATAAGAAATGCTCTGTTCCCCTCTACAATCGACGTGAGATCTCCAGTTTCTATAAACTTTTCCTAAAGTAAAAAACAGAACAGTGATTATAAGCAAACAGCTTTATGTTCTAAAAACAAAATTATGCAAATGTTTCGTAGTATGGGAAGTGCTGAGTAGGCACTAATATCAAGCACAAACCCGTAACTTCAGCCGTGAAGATTGTGAACATAATTGAAATCTGTAGTAGCAGGAGTAATATTTTTGAACTAAACTTAAGTTGTTGCAGGAAGGGAAGAAATCACTAGCAGATAAGTTCGAGTATATCATGCATCGGAAGCTGTACAAACTCGCAGATGAAGGCTCAGGATCAGACTTGAAAGTGTAAGTGAATTGCCATGATTTTGCTCACCCATTTCTGCTGCTGATTTTCCTAAAAGTTTAAGTGGAAGTACTTTATGCATGATTCTAACTCGATTCATAAAACATATTTTGATGTCGGAATTGGGTGTATTTTACAGAGAGGTTTATGCATCTTTTGGAGGACTTCAAATGATGTTGAAGGGAGATCCCCTCCACTGTGTCAAATTCAGGGTAGATCAGAACATGTTCTTGCTCCTCCGAAAACTCATATGAACCTCAACAATCTCTCCTAATTATCAATTATAATTCTAGATAACTTATGAATTGATTGAAGGCTTTGGTTAATTTGTAAGCTTGTTGTGAGCATTTATTACAATCATTACTAAATATCAATGGCAAAATCAAATTGAGAAGCTACAAAAACAATGAAAGTTGAAGAATAGATAGTGGGGGACATGAAGAATTAGATTCCAAATATATATAAAATGAGAGGTTTCTAGCACAAGAGCTTTGACGTACTCATTGCAAATTATCTATGTTCATATTTTCAATGCGCTCCATCACTAAAAGAAAGAAAAAATGTTCCACTTCTACTTGTTGGACGAAAGTTGAACAATTTCCAAGTTAGTATCTGAAAGCAAAGAAGCCGACGAGAAAAGGCTTTTAAAATCTCACTTTAGCGAAAGCAGATTGTATGCTAAAGCTCTCCAACCACGAAGCTTCCTCTTCTTTTCCTGTTGTAATATAAATTGGACGAATGATAGTGTGTGGTGGCAGAGAGATTGAAAATGGGGGTTGGGGGTTCGTTGGAGTATGTATCCGAGAATTACTTGATGTGCATTAGCCATAAACGCAACAATAAGCACCACCAGTTGCAGACCGTTGAGCTTAAGGTGGCTATGGATTGCGATGGGTGCGAGCTTAAAGTGAAGAAAGCTCTGTCTTCCTTACGAGGAGTGAAATCAGTGAAGATAAACAGAAAGCAGCTGAAGGTGACAGTGACAGGGTATGTGGAAGCAAGCAAAGTGTTGAAGAAGGCAAAGTCGACAGGGAAAAAGGCAGAGATATGGCCATATGTGCCCTACAATTTAGTGAAGCATCCCTACGCTGCCCCAGCTTATGATAAGAAGGCCCCTCCTGGGTATGTCAGAAATGTAGAGGACAATGCTGTGGCCTCCTCTGTTGTCAAGTTTGAAGACCCTTCCTTTGTCACCATGTTCAGTGATGATAACCCTAATGCCTGCTCCATCATGTAGCCAAAAAATACCAATCTTTTTCTGTTTTATTTAGAGTTTAATAAAAATTTGAAGCAAAAAAAAAGCAAAGCTTTCTTGTCTGTTACACTGGCTGGGTGAGGATACCGGCAGAATAAACTTTTGGCTTCTTTTGGTCTTTTTGAACTTTTTGTTTATTTTTTTATTTTCTTACATTTTCTGACATTTTCCTCAAAATCTAAGGCAGCGTAAAGTGTGTTCTTAAAATAAAAATTTATATTATTTTAGGCTATGAAATTGATTGGTTGAATTATATTCTTTACTTTTCAAACCTCATATTTATGTGACACTTGGATTATGTTAAATTAATACTATGTTCTAAATGCTATAAATATGTCAATTAATAATATCCTTCACCCCCTTTACAATATTATTTATTTCAGCGAAGAAATAAATTCCATCATTTTTTTTAATATTTGAATTATTTTGTTATTTTTCAAACTTACCGCTAAGACAATGTTTTTGGATTTATCGAGTTTAGTGAATGTATGTTGACAAATATATTTTTTAAATCTTATTTCGGATTCTATGATCCAAATTGGAGAAATACTAAAAACATCAATTTTATGTTTCCTGATCTTGAATCATATGTAGTTTATGGACAAGAATATCATATTCAAGAAATAATTAAAAGTTTTTATAGTATTATGGCAAATAAAATTGAATGTCTTATCTTCGTAACATTATTGATATAACTAGTTTGTTATAGTTTCAAATAATTTGATTCAAATCGTTGATGTGAAGACATGTGAGTAAAGCAAATTAACATATACATGGAGTTTGTATAGGACTAAAGTACAAGATCTTTAATCTCTATTTATAAATCCATTAATTAAGAAGATTAATATTTCATAAAATAATCATCGGTCATTTGATTTTAATCTAATGAATTATGGACTCATGTCTATGAAAATTTGTTTTGCATGACCCAATAAACTTACTAATTTAGGAACTTAACCAAATAGAAAGTGTCAACATAAACTTCACCACATGAAACTAGTTCATTCCCCTAGGATTATGACAAGTTGATGGCACTAGAAGAAATTTTGGATCTCCTAAACCCTAAAAATGTATCGCTTAATCTTTCTTATCTCAGTACTATTAAGATGTCAAACTTATTTATACTTGAATCGTGATAAGTTATTATAGCTCGAAGTATGTTTCTAATGCCTCGAGATCATGCTTATTTATTTTGATAGCATTCATGCATTCGAAAAATTAGGTTAAAGCGCTATCGCTATGTATTTTAATTAAAAAGTCAAGAATTTGACTAATGTGGAAAAAAATAATAATAAAAATAAAATAATGCAGTTGGTTAGAACATTAAAATAGTAATACTTCTTACTTACCCACTCAAGAATATATATTTTTATATACATGTATACTTTTTGTTATGTCCCAAGCTTTAAAATATTTTTCTATTTTTGTATTAATGAGTTTAACTACAATGGGAATTTAGAAAAATTAAAATTTAACCTATATAGATTAAAATACAATAATTAATTCATATAATTTGATAAAATAAAAAATATATATTGTAAAATTATCAAATTGTAAGAATACAATTTTAACCACTAAAACTATAAAAATAAAATTATAATAATTTGAATTTTAATATAGTGGAGATTAAAAAGTACCAAATTGAGAAAACCGTCATGTTTTGTTTGTTCTCTATTTTTATATTTAAACAATTTTACAAATTGGACTAAATTATTTATAATTAACGTTAAAGTACACAAATGTCCCTTGAATTTAAATTTTAAAGTAGATCTCAATTATATGGAGGTAGATTTTGAAAATTTTAATTTTTACTATTTTTAAAATATATATTTTTACTCTTTGAAATTGTTTTTCATTAAAATAAAAGATAAAAATTGACTTGGTAGTATTATCTACTATATATATATATATATATATTTTTATCCCATTTATGTCCATTTTCATCGTATTTTAACCCTTAAAAAAAAAAATCGATTTGAGAAATTGGGTTCGTTTTGACGTCTGAATTCAACTACGGCAACTACCCAGCGCTACCTAACTCCGCCTTTGGATCGAAATTTCCGACAGCCGCCATTTCCACCAACTCCCCTTCTCCTCTACCTACTCATTTTTCTCCTCCTCCTCCTCCTCCTTCATCTCTCATCGCGGCTTTTCGGTACTTAAATCTCTCTCTCCCCCCTTCCTCTTTCCAGTTTTTCTTTTACTTGTTCCTTACAGAATCGGGACGCCTCCCTCTTGGTATGGCTAATTCCCTCCACACTTTACCTAATCCTTCTCGTCTCGGATTCAGATACCAATTTCCCGGAGCTGATTCTGCTTCAGACACTGCTTTTGGATCTATTTCTTTCCCCTCCCGCCTTCCTGCTCCGTCCCTCAAGTATGCTCTACCTGCTTATGTCTTCTTCTTTTTTTATCCCTTTCCGTTGATGGTTTATCAAATTGCTTCTTTGAACCAAGTGTTTGTGTGATTTTGTAGTTTGTAATTTGAATTCTTCTGCTGCGTCGTGTTGGGTCATTTTTGTCTTCCATTATAACTGCTGGGAATGTGTTGTTATCTCTCTTTTTCGTTGTCCCTTACAGCTTTCCGTTTGATAATAGGTCTGTGCAATATACTAAGAAAGTGAAGCCAATAATGGCTGGGCATGTTTCTGACAATGTCAGCGTGGACATATCTTTGAGCCCAAGAGTGAATTCTGTAAAGCCTTCCAAGACAGTGGCTATAACCGATCAGGCTACAGCTCTTGTGCAAGCTGGTGTACCTGTGATTCGGTTAGCTGCCGGTGAACCTGATTTTGATACACCTGCCCCAATTGTTGAGGTATTATCTTAACCTATAACTCCCTTGTTTGTTGTTCTAACTTTCTTTTGATGCTTGTATGTTTTCACATTTCTACATGTGGTAGTTGATTTTGTTACCGCCAATTGAATGTTAGGCTGGAATCAATGCAATTCGGGATGGATACACTCGATACACGCCCAATGCAGGAACGTTGGAAGTCCGCCAAGCAATTTGCCATAAGCTGAAAGGTTAGTTGTGTTTAGAGGACGAGTGTTTATAGATGTGGTTGAGTTGTATAGTAGCTTCATATTTATGATGCAAGCTCTTGGTTCTCTTTATGTCTCTAGAGGAGAATGGGATTTCATATACACCAGATCAAATATTGGTCAGTAATGGAGCCAAACAGAGTATTCTGCAAGCCGTCGTTGCTGTTTGTTCTCCAGGGGATGAGGTAAATGTTTTCTTGATCTTGTGATGAATGTAATAGCTCCATACCAATCTGACAGTAGATTATAGTTCAATCTAGATTCAACGTGCTTATTCTTGAGGAAATATTGAGGCAATAAGCCATGTTTTACCAATACCAATATCAATATAGTGCAATGGGGCTCGATCCATTTGTAGAATTGTTCATTTGGCTTTGATTGTGGCCATGTCTGTGATGTATTAACTCTATCCTTTTCCCCCCAGGTTATAATTCCAGCTCCATTTTGGGTAAGTTACCCAGAAATGGCAAGGCTGGCTGATGCAACTCCTGTTATTCTTCCAACGAGTATTGAGGCTAACTTTCTCTTGGATCCAAGGCTTCTTGAAGCAAAGATCACGGAGAAGTCGAGGCTGCTGATTCTTTGTTCTCCCTCCAACCCAACAGGATCAGTTTACCCAAAGGAATTGCTGGAAAAGATTGCTGAAATTGTCGCTAAACATCCTAGACTTCTGGTGAGGTTTCTTTAGCTGTGTTGAATTTCACTTATTGGACCGTTTGTCTTAAATCATCTTTACTTTCTTGCAGGTGTTGTCTGATGAAATCTATGAACACATAATTTATGCTCCAGCAACTCATACAAGCTTTGCATCTCTACCAGGCATGTGGGAACGGACTTTGACTGTTAATGGGTTCTCTAAGGTAAATGAAATTTTGTTTTCTGATCTTTATTACTACCAGCTATGTCAAACTTCGTTTTTGATTTCCATATTTTTGCAACGCGATTGCTTAACATTTGAAGATGTAATGTTTTAGGCGTTTGCAATGACTGGTTGGCGACTTGGATATATTGCTGGTCCTAAGCACTTTGTTTCTGCATGTGGAAAAATCCAGAGTCAGGTATGTTAAAACTTTAGTATTTCTAATCTCTTACATCTTTTAGCTTGGTAAGGCAATCTTCAATTGTTCTTCAACTCTTGCGCATTGTGTTGAAGCCTCTAGGCAACATAAAGTGTAAAGGGGATGAATGCCTAGTGGAAATCTTTTAGCTTTTACTTGAAACATTGAATTATGCCCCTCAGCCACAAGAACCAATATGTTTATGCAATAACTTTACTTCCTCTTTTTAGAAAATTTGCTGCAATCTGTTGATTGACTTGTTAAATGTCAGAACGTTTTCTTTTTCCATCTTCAGCTTACTCTGTATATTTGTTATGATAGTCTACTTCAGGAGCCAGTAGCATATCCCAAAAAGCAGCCGTTGCAGCTCTAGGAATGGGTTATGCTGGGGGTGAAGCTGTTGCTACAATGGTGAAAGCATTCCGAGAACGTCGTGATTATTTGGTCAAAAGCTTTGGTGAACTTGCAGGTGTCAAGATTTCAGAACCTCAGGTGCCAACTTCAACATTTTCTTCTTTCGCACATTCCTTGTCGACCCTTTTCGATCTTGTCTTTTATAACTGATGTTGTTATTGTAATGTCTGAAGATTCTATAACTCTTTGTAGGGAGCTTTCTACCTCTTTCTAGATTTCAGCTCTTACTACGGAGCTGAAGCTGAAGGATTTGGTGTAATCAACAATTCAGAGTCACTTTGCCGATATCTGCTTGAGAAGGGCCAGGTAAAGTTCATCAGAAATCATCACATATTTCATTATCATTTTTGTCATTGTTCTTCCAAAATTCAAACCCATCTTAGTTGGAGATCAAATCGATCCAAATTTCCAATCGGCTGGCTTCTTGATGAAATTTGTGTATCAGTCATTTCCCTGCTACCATTTGTTTCTAAAAGCAAAAATCTTGTAGAATTTGAGTGTAATATCATTATCTGCTGCTGTTTTTTCAGGTTGCTCTAGTTCCGGGGGATGCATTCGGTGACGACACCTGCATTCGAATCTCGTACGCCGAATCCCTCAGTATATTGCAGGATGCTGTGGAGAGAATCAAGAAAGCACTTGAAGCAGTGAGGCCTGCTGTTCCTGTTTAACAATTACTAATGTAAGGAACATAATGCGACAAGCCCTTCAATGGTTAGTTTCTATTCAGTTTGATAATTCTATCTGCTGAGATTTGTATTCTAGTGTTTGTGTTGAAATAAGCAATGCAAATCAATAACATTTGTTCGAAAAAATGCGAACCCATTGAAATGGGAAGCATTAGTTTTATTCATCTTTATTGAACTTTTTGAGGATTGAGATAATCCAGTGTTTAATATATTTAGAAGCCCAACAATCCAGAAGCTCATCTATTCACCCAACCCAATCCAACCCAATCCACTCAAGCCAATAGCTCACCAGCCCAGCCCAGCCCAGCCTGGGCGTGCTTCGTTGTGGGACCTTTTGTAACCACGTAGACTTGAGACGATTATTTATTTGTATGCATAGAAGTCGTGGTAACTATATATGTGTGCGTATGAAAATTACGAAAAATACTGTGGATGGTATGTAGGGTGTCGGGGTAGGGACTGGAGAGTGACGTGGAATAGGTGGGGGTGGATTAGAAGAAAATGAAATGAAACATTTGGTGGCCACTCAAAGGGCATGGCGGAGAGTTTGCCAAGAGGCAATTGGTACCCACAGTCCTCTTCACTCTCTCTGTCTTCCCAACTATTATTTACACTTTTTCTTTTTTAAAATTTTGGTGGAGCCATGGATGAAGCAAGGAGAAGGTTTGAGACGTGTGAGAGAAAGTGAGAGACAAAAAGAAGAGGGAATTCTCTCTTAAAAAAATTAATCTTTTTTATGTTGTGATGTTGGGGTGATTTATCATTTCAACCAACACAATGACATTGCATTGGTTAATGGTTCAAAAACTTAAAAACCCAAAAATACCCTTGAGTTAAACATTTTATGTTCTTACTCTTAGTCAATATTAGAAATGAAAGAGAAGATTAAGAAGAATGCAAGGGGGGGATGCTATTCAAAATTGATTTGTATACCATCTTCAAGAATTAAACAGCACCATAAGTTGAAGATGAATGGGACGTCCCCATGCATGGCCAATCAACAAGTAGTACTACAAGGGCTTCACCATTAAGCAATTAGGCTTTATTGGAACTCCACTTGATGCAATTTATGATCGAAAAGACAACTCAGGACAGGAGGGTGTGACCACTTGAGGTTGAAAGGCAGTGGCATATACCAGATGATAACTTCCTTCTTCCGGGGCATTTATGTATATTCACTACTTTCTTTTTCTTTTCTTTTTTAAAGTAAAAATAAATTGAATTTTTGTTTATTTTAGTTTTTTTTTTATAAAATATATGTGGACATGGAAATTTGGACCATTTTTTTTTTTGAATTTTCAAAATACCCGATTATCTTTAAACTTGTAAATGATAATCATTCTACTCTTACGTGCAAACGAGAGTGATATGGATAGCTATTAGTTATAAGAATAAGGTGGTTTAATTATAGAAACTCCAAAAATAAGTGTCTTTGGCTTAAAAACATGAATTTCATGTTGAGGAAGGACAAACATGCTAAAATGATCAATATTGGTTTATGAGAATAGTCTTCACTCTTATGAGTAATTCAAGACAAGTAAGTAATATGATTATGTAATAAGTCACGATGTATTGAATTTGGGTTTCAAATCCCGACTCACTTGTTGAGTTTGGGTTGAGCATAAGGCATTAAATTGTGTTTATTTTGATTCTTGGCTCAATCTATTTTGAATACTTTACTGCTTTAATATTAACAAAACCAAAAAAAAAAAAAAAAAAAAAAATCAAAATTTTGTTTAGTTGAGACGTGGATTGTAAGGTGTAAAAGAAAATTCATGTAGAGACTTTTAAAAATAAACTTTTTTCCAATTTCAAATTTGGGATAGGGACCTTACGGTTCTTTTTATTTTCAAAAAAATTATATGATAATATTATGTGACAATCAATGTTTTATTTTTGTTAGTTTTTTTTTCTTTGGTGAAAGTAAAGTTTTTAAAAAATTGTGATTTTGGAATAATCATGTTATTTTTTAATGGGATAGAATCTAAGTTTTATAAGAGAGGTTCATTGAGTGAGCGAAGAGGATAGGGGTAATTGTTCGTATCTCCGATTGCAACTTCTATACCAATAAAATTCTCTTATTTTATTAGAGAGATTCAAGTTACCTCATAAAATAATTCTATCTCTAACAACGAGTCAATTTAAGCATAATTCAGTAATGGTCGGGCGTGGGGGCTAACCTCCTATCACATGAAGACGATGGGTTGTTCCATTCCGGCAGCTTTGAGGTCCACAACCTCCTCCTAAACGTCATCTTCCACACCTTCTTTCTTCTTCTTCTTCATCGACGTGTAACCCATACGGGACCCCTCACCCAAGAAAAAGAAGAAAAAAAAAAAAAGTACCTTTTTACAGTTATCTCCTTCATTCGCATATTCCGCCATTTTCACGCTCTGTTCCGTTCTCATGGAGCGCGACGACCCACAACATCATCACCATTCACTACTGGGGTCTCTCTTTCTCTCTTCCCCCCACCCGCCACCACCACATCTTTCGACGCGTGTCCATTCCGCCCTTCCTAATTCCTCTATAAATCCGGAGCTCCCGCTTCAAGCGGGGAGCACCGCACCAACATTCTCGAGGCTTCGTTGAGCGATTGAGAAAAAAGAAAGACAGAAAGAAACAGGAGGTGTTAACAGCCGAGAAAAACGGAACACACCTTCTTCTTTCTTCTTCTTCCTCTTCTCTTTCTGTTCTTCTTTGCCCTAACTGAGTTTTGTTCGGTCGGCTACAATGTTTATCGACAACTTTAAGGTTGAATCCCCCAATGTTAAGTACACCCATGATGAGATTCATTCCGTGTACAATTACGAAACCACTGAGCTCCTTCATGAGAACAGAAGCGGGACTTATCAGTGGATCGTTAAGCCCAAATCTGTTCAATATGAATTCAAAACCGATATCCGTGTCCCCAAATTAGGGTTTGCTTTTCTTTAACCTCTCTCTCTCTCTCTCTCTCTCTCTCTCTCTCTGTTTTTCTTGTGTTCTTCCTTTTCTTTGTGTTCTTACTTATGAATTTGATAGGATGATGCTCGTTGGATGGGGTGGAAATAATGGCTCTACTCTTACTGCAGGAATCATAGCCAACCGGGAGTAAGCTTTCCTTTCCGATTTTGGTCTTCAATCTTATATAAAATAGTTTTAATATAATATTGTGGATGATGGGTCCTATTTTTCAGAGGAATCTCTTGGGCAACCAAGGATAAAGTTCAACAAGCCAATTATTTTGGCTCTTTAACGCAAGCATCTTCCATCAGAGTTGGCTCTATTGATGGCGAGGAGATTTATGCTCCATTTAAGAGCCTCCTACCCATGGTAATTACATTAGAACATTCAATATCTGCTTTTAAAACAAAAACATTGGAGTTTATAGTAATTGTTTTATGATTTAAATATGTGGCAGGTTAATCCTGATGATATTGTGTTTGGAGGGTGGGACATAAGTGACATGAACCTGGCTGACGCCATGGCCAGATCTAAGGTCCTTGATATTGATCTGCAAAAGCAATTGAGACCCTACATGGAATCCATGGTCCCTCTACCTGGAATCTTTGATCCTGATTTTGTTGCTGCGAATCAGACCTCACGAGCCAATAACATTATAAAAGGCACCAAGAAAGATCAAGTCCAGCAAATCATTAAGGATATTAGGTAATATATACCTTTTCAGTATATGTCAGTTCAAAATCTTAAATTTGAAGTTTTTCATAATAATAAGCTGATTGTGTTCTAATTTATTAGGGAATTCAAGGAGAACAGTAAAGTGGACAGAGTTGTAGTGCTGTGGACTGCCAACACAGAGAGGTACAGTAATGTGATTGTGGGGCTAAATGACACAATAGAAAATCTTATGGCTTCTGTGGACAAAAACGAGTCGGAGATATCTCCTTCCACCCTCTATGCAATTGCTTGTGTCCTTGAAAATGTCCCTTTCATCAATGGTAGCCCACAGAACACTTTTGTCCCAGGTACCCCTTTTTCTTAATCTTCCATAAAACTTGCTACTTTTTACCCTTTTCAATTCCTTTTCGAGCCGAATTCACTGAAATTCATGGGATCTTGTTAACAGGGTTGATTGACTTAGCCATTCATAGAAATAGTTTGATTGGAGGGGATGATTTTAAGAGTGGTCAGACCAAGATGAAATCTGTGCTTGTAGATTTTCTTGTTGGTGCTGGTATTAAGGTACCTGGATTCTGTTAATTAAACTTTGTGATCTGATCATGTCATAAAAAATTTGGGTGTTCTTAAAAATATGTTGTGGACTTTGTTGTCGTCAGCCAACATCTATAGTGAGCTACAACCATCTGGGAAACAACGATGGAATGAACCTATCAGCCCCTCAAACATTCAGATCCAAGGAGATCTCAAAGAGTAATGTTGTGGATGACATGGTCTCCAGCAATGGCATCCTCTTTGAGCCTGGCGAGCACCCTGACCATGTGGTGGTCATCAAGGTATAATTCTTAAGATTTCCGAAGATTTGTGAATACAGATATGAATATCTTATGAACTGTTGAAAGTTATGAAATTTTGTTAAATCCTCCCTGGTTTTGGAATGGAAATTTTCAGTATGTTCCTTACGTGGGGGACAGTAAGAGGGCCATGGATGAGTACACCTCGGAGATATTCATGGGTGGGAAAAGCACCATAGTGTTGCACAACACTTGCGAGGATTCTCTCTTAGCCGCTCCTATCATACTCGACTTGGTTCTTCTTGCTGAACTCAGCACTCGTATTCAATTCAAGGCTGAAGGAGAGGTCAGTTTTGATTCTCTAAGCCATTTTTGTTTGCCATTTTGAAATGACTCTAAAACGCAAGCGAATTGGGTTTGTGTAGGGAAAGTTTCACTCTTTCCACCCTGTGGCCACCATCCTCAGTTACCTTACAAAGGCTCCTCTTGTAAGTTTTTACACAATCACTGCCTTCTGAAATCATGAACTTTCATCGTTGAACGTATTTCTGACTTGAAAATGGCAAAAACAGGTTCCACCGGGCACACCCGTGGTGAACGCTCTGTCGAAGCAGCGTGCGATGCTGGAGAATATAATGAGAGCTTGTGTTGGGTTGGCACCTGAGAACAACATGATTTTGGAGTACAAGTGAAGTGCGAGGAAGTTTGAGTTTGATAGGATAATTGATTTTCTGGTGTATAAGTTTGTGAAAAGTATGCAATTAGTTTGGGCTTTTGGGGAAGCCATGTCTGTAATGGAATTACTGATATTTATAAATAAATAGGTTTTTGTGTTTTTTATGTTCTTGTGTTCTTCGTAACGAACCTATACTACCAAGGAATCCAAATGGGCTTTACATCTGACACCACAAAATGTGACCAATAATTTGAGTGAAGAAGACAATAAAAGTGGTCCATGGCCAGATGCTACCTTTTGATGCCCAAACACGATGGTAAAAGGATTCCTTACCAGTACCACTTGCTTGATAGTGACTTTAAAATTTCTTCCAAAATGTTTGGAATTTTGTAATGATTGTATCCGTGATGCATGTTGTTCGTTTACCAATTTACTTCTTTGATGCATAAGTGTGTGGGTCGGATTGGGCCAAGATGTGGCTTCCTTAAGGCCTATTTGAGCCCCAAGTGTGTAGCTAGGCTCAAGGTTGGGTTAGCCTTGACCTGGTAAGCTCGAGGCCTATTTAGGCCCGAGTCCACTTCCATTTTCAACCTTTTGGGCCTACTCGTCATACTGAAAAATTGAAAAATTCTATCCCATTTTTTCAAGGTAGACCCGTTTTAAAAATTTTTTTAAGCAAAATCTAAAAAAAACTAACTCGGGCTTGAGCTGTTACACACTCAAAGGTATTTTAACTCGAACATAAAAGATGAAATCAAAAGGAATCAAAAATGAAAAACGTTAGTCAGCTTTTAAGTTTATGTATATGAAATTCACAAGTTTGAGCCGCAAGATTCATAATCATTCATAGTAAGTTCCTTGTTTTTGTGATGGCACAAACTTCCACATTTTCTTTTTTACATTCCAACAAATACAATACTTTTAAAGCGCCGCCACAGTCTCATCTCTCTTTAGCTCGGCCGCCACCGCCGCCGGCAGTAGTGCACTTCTCTTGTTCCATACTCTGCTCTCTGCACTCCATGCTGCAAAAAGCAGTATCTCCCCTGCATATCAACAACTAAAAATCAAGTTTATGGAGGTTTACATAAGAAAAATGGATATAATTGACTCATACATACATGTACATGTAAATGTCACGGGCGGGTGAGAGACGGCGTTGACAGAAGGAGCAAGTACGTAGAAAATGAAGAGAAGAATTGTGGGAGAGACTTCTCCGGCCTCTCGGTGACGCGAAGGCAAAGGTGTAATTCACTACATCCTGCTCAAGACGAGAAATTTCTTTGGTGTCCGGATTTTGATCATCGTACGGCTGTTGACCCTTTTCCTGCCTGACATCCACCGTGATTCTCGATACACTCGCCGTTCTCTTAATCTGCGGCCGTGGGTTCCCTAGTAACATCTTCACACACAGACAGAGACAGAGGCAGGGGATGGAATGAGAAGATGAAGGGGAATGAATCATTATAAACAAACAAAAAAGGGTATGTTACAAGTTTGTGTTTTTTTCAAAAAATATAATTTAAAATCAAAATGTATCTAAATGTATAGAGTCTTTGAAGTTAGTTTATTAATTTTTTTTTTTAAAACTGATATGATAATTTGAAGGGTTCATGAGAGAAAGGGAGTGAACAGATGTGGGCCGTTGGATGGATGATTATATTGTATTTAGCATATAAGAAAACAATTTTATATTATTTTCCTAGTGTGGATAGGATATTATATATTTATTTATTAAATGATTGAAGCAATTTATTATTTAGAGTTTAAAATGAATTGAATTATTGAAGGAAGATACAAGTAATGTTTGAAATTTAATAAATTTGAATAAATTGATTTGGTAATCATTCCAATGTTTCACTTAAGATAATTACATTTGATAGGCCGAACTACTCTTGACTTTTAATATCTTGATATTAATTTGTATATTATTCATCTTTCTTTTGCAGTAATTTTAGGATAAAGTTTGAAACAATAGATTTGAAGAAGTCCATAATGTTATAGCTTTTCAATGGGATCTCACACAGTTATATCCCTTCAAGGGAACAATCCGAACTCTCAAATTCTCATCTCAAGAACCAAATCGAAACTACAAGCATTGGTACATACCGAACCGAGGTAGTCGGGAAAAATGGTCATTCTTCCTTGCCCATGGCCATCAAGAACTCTCCTTCACACACGACTTCGCCTCCGACGTATGCCTTCCCTTCCATTTTCGCAATTCCAAACTTCTTCTGCAACTTAACAAGAGTCATTCGCATGACCAATGTGTCCCCCGCGATCACGGGTTTGCGGAACCTTACTTTGTCAATTCCAGCGAAGAAGAAATTGTCGCGAGAGCCTCCTACTTCTGGTTGCAGCATAACCAGACCACCTACTTGAGCCATTGCCTGCAAACCGAGCATTGAGAGAGCTTTATGTACTATAACAACAAGGAGATCATATCTAGGGATATTAATGAATGAAGGATGGACACACAGGTCCCCTGTTCTGACAGTGATGTCTCATTTCAATGGGAGAAAGTGATTATAATATACTAAGGTCTTCTCCTCGCATCAACACAGCCCTCGTTAGATTCACTCAACTCAGACACTCGATCTATATGAAGAGCATGAAAAACAAAATCGAGAGGATGCAAGGAGAATATACATGGAGACACCGAAATGCAAAACTCTACGGTAGATAGAATTTATTTACAGACGACTTCACGTAGTTACAGATAAGATAACCCATTTCAAAAACTAAATATGAGCACAAATAAGATACTCAAATAAGATTCTATCTTAGAAGCTACTAAGATATCAAGATCCAAAGCCTGGGGGTAGTACTAGAAACGCAATCATAGGCTCATAGCAACCTTCAAATTCTAAGCGACAGTTTCAACTTCATGATTTTGGTGAAAACTATCCTTTCTAACTTGTTTGGTCAAGGCTAGAGCAACGTTCCCTTCTTGGCAACAAACTTGCAGGACTAGCCTATAAGGTAAAAAAAGCTAGCATCCGTTCAAGGTGACTTAGGTGAGGGTCACTTTACCATTGCCTTAATGTCGGAAGGGTCTGTGGATACCAAATCATATGTCCTAAGCTACTCAATTTGGTAGAGAACAAAAGAACGTTTCATTCAGTTGGCAATAAGATGGTACTCACAACCACCTCTAAAACATTTACGAAATGATGCGCACGTACCTGAACAGCGGGGCTGTAAAATTTGAAATGACCGAAATAACTGATCTACCCTATTCTCTAAATGCCTCATCAGAGTATTAACACTGATATCCCAACTATATACTAATAAGCTGCAAATCCTCTATACAGACTAATTTATCAAAAAAGAAAAAACCTCTCTTCACAGTCAACCAATCCACCCTAATTTCCATTTGTGGCAAAACTGCAACCAAGTGCAAAGATAACTGTTCTCAAACAATTAGTAATTTCTCAAAACAGTTCACAAAATATTCATCAAAAGAAACAGTAAATGAAACATTTCGCAGATAAGTGAAAAGATTCTCAAGCACAATTGGATTTCATCCTCTTCATCAACGCTAAAAGAATTCATCCTTCATGTTCTTAGGTCCTATATGATCATCAACTAAACCAAGAAAGAATCCTTCCAATTTCCAACCTTGTGCGAGAAGTTTCCTCCTGTGAATAGTTAAACCACGTTTGAGAAGTTCTGACTCCAAAAATTCCCGATTGCTACAATCTATTACCATCTTTAGGTACTAATCAGAGGAGGATTGGTTCGTGTTCAACACTAGGAAACATTTCTGAGCTTGTCCTTGAAACAAGGCAGACTCATGCAGGTTATCTCTGAATGAAGAGGTTGTGTAATATCACAGTGACACAGAAATAGTGCAAGTCAGTTTCCAAAAAGTTCTTCAACTAGGAAACATTTTTGGTTTTCGTAGTTGGGTTGTTATTCGGCTGGCCTCCTTTATCAATGAAGGGTTAGTTTCTTTATCATTAAAAAATTAACAACTAACAAACTCAAATAAAGATCATGTTTCAAGAAACACATGCAAAACCCCATTAATTTTCGATCAAAGATTTATTGGTCAACGAGAAACCCAACTACGAAAGCTAATTAAAAACTGCACCCAACTACAAATTAACAACTAACAAACTCAAATAAAGACCACGAGATTAGTCCCCATCCCACTAACTCCCATAATTTTTGCTTACAGCTTCAATAATTCAATTTACATGCTTCAACTGCATTCAAAGACTTTACTTTTCTCCAATCAGAGTAGGGAAAAAAAATATATATATATATATATATATCGGACTTCCCTTTTACTCCATGAAGGCGGGGTGCATAGTTCACTGACATCCAAACCCCAGTCTTAGTATCACTCACCACTCCATTTCTATCCAAATATTAAAAGTTTTAGCTGTTTGTAATTATAATTCATAAATTCAAAAAGAGTTCATTTCACAGAGAGTAAACAGATGAACAATTCCACTTAATCCCAAAATTTCAGTTTAAAGCTTTAGAAATTACCTCAACCATGAGAACACCGGGCATGATGGGTCTTTCGGGGAAGTGCCCAGGAAAAAAGTTATCATTAATGGTAACATTCTTTATAGCAACCGCCGAAACCCCAGGATTGTATTCAATCACTCTATCCACTAAAAGAAACGGGAACCTACAGCAGAACAAAACACAATGCATAAGAAAGAAATACAAGAATCTTCAAAACCCCATACACTCACAAACACACAAGGAATTTTAACGAATACCTGTGGGGCAAGATATTGCGAATCTCATTGATATCCATGACAGTAGGAAAAGCAGGAAACCCTGAGGAGAGAATGAAATCAGATAAGAAAAAAACAAGAAAACCCCTCAATTTCAAATTAGAAAGAGAGCTTACTCTTTTCAATGGGAACATCTAGTTTCCCTTCAATGGGATCGGCGTGGACGTCGGCATTGAGAGAGCAGCGGACAGTGGGAAGCTTATTGGAAGGAAAAGAGAGAGAAGGAGATCTGAAGAAGGAAACAGAGGCTGGTGGAGGAAGGAAGCATCTGGGTTTGTTCAGAGATGGAGAATTGGTGAAGGAGATGAGCGAATTGGAGGTGGCAGCCATTGATGGGGATGAGAGGAAACTGTGAGCGGAGAGTTCAAAGCAAGAGGAGTTTATGATGTTGGAGAGTTGGGGTGAGGAGGTTGGGGCAAATTTGAAAAAGCGCTCAAATCCACCCTGCACGCTTCGGTCATGTGGACAAGTGAACGCTAACGTGTTCTTGGTTGGACTAATTAAAACCATAACTGATAAGGTCCAATTCACATTGAAATTTTGAAGATAGGAGGCCACACAAACATGTTCTTGGTTGGACTACAAACTTGAAAACATTTAGATCCATGAATTCGTGTAAAAAGGAGGCCCAAAATTAGGTTCAATTGGACTAGGCTTTCAAAGTGAACAACAAAATAGGCCCATTAACCGCTTTGCTTTCTCGGTCTTCCAAAAACAGACCAATACTAGTTCTTCCAACATACTTTGTCCTCGTTTACATATATTCTAAAAAAATTTCTAGAAAGTCAATTGTTTCAAATAGAGTACATTTAACTATAAAATTTTTATGATTGAGTTGCCGGAAAAGAAAGTGCACAATTTATACCATTTATGACGACTCAAAGTTAAACGACGACTCAAAGTAAAACTGAAGTTGCATGAAAGAAATAGGGAGGTTGATTTGATGCATAGATAAAGAAAGTCAGAATTTTAGTCCAAAGCCGACACAAAACATTTGATGTTTCAAGTGCATTTTCCAATAAATCTGGCAAACGCACTAAGATGAGGCATGAGAGAAATGGAAGCTCTTTGTCTGAGGCATCGTTTATGTGTTGGTGGACTATAATTTCATGCGATCATTCTCTGCTAGGTACATTCAAACCAAACTTCCCCATCACCGTTGGCAGGTTGCTGGTCGATGTTTCCAATGGCGGAATCTTCCGTTTCTTCTTTATTTGACCCCAAACTGGTGGATCCACTCATCATTCCTTTTCAAATTCTACGTGAACAAGAACAAACTTCAAGAACAAAAGGGAGAGGTCTGATGATGATGTACTTACGGTCCAACTTGGCGGTTGCAGCTGAAAGCATGAGGTGCAGAAGAAAAATGGATAAAGCCCATCAAAACATTGCCACTCGCTTCCTTCATAATACCCTAAAATCTGTTGTTTTAAGGACCACTTGGGAACTTGGACGGACTTCCCTGTCTTTACTTTTGTGTCATCTTCTGTTTTAATTTTGACCAAATTTTTAATTTAAATCCCAAACCTCCACGTTGCTTGCAAATGTCACATACAATACTACTTTTCTGTCATACCTGCTCTTTATCCCCATCTCATCATCTTCCCAACAATGCCATTCCAGTTCTTGTCAACCAAAATATAATTTCGTTTCTCGTGGACCCACCAACTCTTTTCCCTACCCTAAGTTCCCCGCAAAACACTTGTGGGAAGAAGGCTAGACCCACTCCATAATAGACGTATTTTAAAATTATGAGGCTGACGACGATACTCGTAGTTTGTAACTCTTGTTATCATGTCGAGTAGTATCATAACCCTAGAACATTGAGGAAATATATTAATAGACAAATCCATCATTCACCTCACTCAACACTACTTTAATTAATATGTTAGATCATAATATGCGATATTAATTTGAGTATCTTTCTTGCAAGTTTGTTAATCCGTCGACAATAAATTGATAGCGCACAAAGTAGTTTGTTATTCGAGATTCTTTTATCCCTTAGCCATCGAGATCACTAGCTAAAACTAGTTAAACATTCCATCCCACTTTTTTTTAGATAGAGGACGTTGTGTCACCCAGATGCAAAGTTAGATTTAGATTTCGAGATTGGTTTGTACTTTTCCCAACTCAACGACGTTACAATTTATAAAAGTACAATATATATTTGATATTCGGTTCTATCTTGGCATTGTACTCGACAGCATATATCTAGCTCGATTGAGATATGGTTGTATATTATTCCCAAAAACTATTTGATGCTTTCTTTTACCATACGCATCTCAAAATAATGATATACAGCCATGTATATAATTTGAAATTTAAGTTCGTACAAATTTTTTAGCTTGTTTGGATGCTAAATTATTGGAATATAGAATAATAATAAAAGAAAAAACATTTTAACAAAAGAGAGAAGAAAAATAATATATTCTTCTGAGTGGTGCTTGGAGAAATCCTGATTTGGAATATATTTATAAATATATTATATGAATAATAAAATAAATTCTTGGCCCTCTTTATTCTTTGTCTACTGCAAGTAAATTCCTATATATATATATATTTTAAATTGTATTCATAATTTGAACATTATACCCTCGGGTGATACCCGATACTCGGTAAGTGACCCACTATTGAGACAAGTAAATACATACACAGACAATCATCGAAGAGACCTATCCTTTCATAAAAATCATTTCATTACTTGAACTTTGTTTTCTAGTTTCAACTAAAAATTGGATGTGTAGTCTTGTCTGCACACGACCTAAATACTTATGCCGAAGTCATTAATCGACCTTGCCTACCTAACATTCATAATTATAGTTTGACTTAGACTACGAGTTGTTGAATTGGTTCGAGCAATACTAGGTTTAGACTACGGGTCGTGTAGATGTTTGGGCGAGCTAGGCGGGTTTGTTTTTGCATCTTTTTTACTAACTTTTGGTGGGCTATTTTTGAGTATGATAATATTAGTTTATGTTTGAGTTATTTTGCATATGGGTGAATAAAAAAGCTTAACCTAAAGCCATGGACAAACCACCTACATCAAATCACTCATGCTAGCTCACCCTAACTCTAAAAAGGCTTCAATAATTAAGATTCTTAAACATAATTTTGTGTTTGACTATTTTGTTTTATAAAGTTTTGTCGTTTACTTGCCCTTTCTTTCCTTTTCTTTTTTTTCCCCCTTAAATTATACTTTTATAATTTTCATCAAAATTTGAAAATAAAATTCTAAAACTTTAGTGGTTGATAAGCTAAACATATAAAGTTATGGAGTTAGATCTTTGAGCATTCTTTTCTTTTTTTAATTTGATAAATTTTATAATTTAATTAAAAAATCCTCACGATATTTTCATTTGATTTTCCATTTCCTCAAAAGTTAAGAATTTTTTTTTACCTCTGAGAAATTCACAAAAAAAAAAAAAACATGTTTAGTCTTTTTATAAAAAGGAATCTTAAAAAAAATAAATTTTAAAGATAAATTTTCAATTAAAAGTGAATATTCCTATGTTTCCTAATACAACTAAAATACTATATTATATGAATTTATTGTTTAAAAAATATATAGAAAGCAAATGTGGCGGGGACAAGGAATATTCCTTGTCCTTACCCATATTTAGGTTATAGACATAAATTTTGCACCCATATTCCTTTGCCTTGTTAATTTGGGATCCTCAACAACTCTAATTTCAAATGTCATTAATTTCTTCTTGTGAATTTTGCATTGATATTGGAGACAAACCAATAATTCTGTATGGTATCATACAAATATGAATAAAATATTAAATATTCCATCCTTAAAGCGATTCAATTAATCTCAACGTCTTGAATTATATTTAAAACAAGCTGTTAATCATGATGGTGATCATGAATGGACTTGAAAAGTACTTTTTTAATTAAAAATTAACAAATTTCTCTCATTTTTTTATTTATAAAAAGAACAGTGTGGGAAAGGAAAGGAAAGGGAGGGGAAGATTATTTTAGAACAAAATTGGGTGATTGCAGACAGGAAAATCTGAGAATATTAGATATATATATATATATACGTGGAGGAGGGGAATATAAGGCCATAATTGACTTTCTCTCTCTGTCTTTTATTATTATTATTATATTTTGAATAATTTATCTATAGGGATAAGTTTAATTTCCTTAGTTAATCTCAAAACTTTGTCAGCTTGTTTGTTTGGTTTGGGATTAAGAGGGGCATGCATTGGAGTGGGGACAAACAAAAGTTGTGCATCTTTTGAAACTTAGGCTCAAAATTGGAGAGTTTCTTTTGAGATGCCCTTTGGCCTTGCCCTCGCCAGTTTGCCTTTTCACTGTTTCACCCTTTGACATTATCGTCTTCGTCTCTCTCTCTCTTTCTCTCTTTAATTATGTTGTGGGTTTATACAAACAGAAGAAGACACCATCATTGCTATCACCATTATTACACCCTCCCTCTCTATCTCTCTCTCACATTCTCTACCCATTTCCTATGTCTAACACTTCCCATTAGTTTTCAACGCCACAAAAGGTGGCTTCCCATTTCTTAACCAAAGTGGGTGATCAAAAGGTCACTTCCTTTTCTACAACTCTACAAAATTCCCCATACAAAATTCCCCATAGGTAACCGCGGTCAGCCTCACGGTTTTAAAACGTGTCTATTAAGGAGATGTTTCCACACCCTTACGAGGAATGTTTCGTTTCTTTCTCCAACCGATATGGGATCTCACATGTTTTGAGTATGGTTGAAAACAGGATCATATGTGTCTTTGCTTAACTCGGGAAACGGGAATGAACGAAAAAGGATGGAAGTTTGTTGGGTAAAAGGAAAAGGGATTTGTGGGTAATTTAAAATGAAAGGTTGTGAGGATGGGTATGATTGAAGTGAAAAAGATAATGATATATCAATCAATGTGTTTGTGTTTTTGATATTGATATGGAAAGGGGAGAGATTAAAGGGTTTTGTTGGGTATCCCTCCATTTCATGCAAACAAATAAAGGTTTGAAACAGCAACAGTTCTCAAAAGAGAGAAAGAGTAGTGCCTGCACAAACCCCTTTTTACTTTTATCTCACCTTCCATTCTTTTAACATTTGAATTTCAGATGGAGGGACATATGGGGTCCTCTCCATTCCCAATGCTCTAAATCCCAACCAAGCATAATAATAATAATAATAATAATAATAATAATAATAAAAGACCCATTAGATCAATATGGCACGATGAAAGAAAGATATGATACGTGACACAATCATGAACTTGGGTTGATACCAAAGAAATTAAGAATACTACCACCGAGAGAAGCATGTAAAAAAATTGACATATTTTGATGCAAAATAACAAGAAGAAAAGACAAGAAAAAAGGTGTCCGATTGTTTGTATATCTTTTAAGAAAAAAGAATAAGAAATGATGAATTTTGCATAAAAGGAAAAATTGGGATCATACAAACATGAAAATTAATAGAATATGATAATCAAACTGTGAATGGATTGTGGCGGCTGAGGCATCCCCAAAAATCTCGCCTTTAATTACTCTTTTCTTAAGAAGAGGAGAGAGAAAAAGGAAATGGAGGGTTAATTTAATTTCAATTTCCAACCAATTTGGTGTATAATAAGAATTATGAGGGAATAATTGAAAATAGATATGTTTTATTTACACAATAATAATAGTTAACCAAGAAAATGAGGTGTTTCGATTATGTTTGATAATGGCGATGGTTAATTAAGGACGATCATTCCTTCTCTACTGTAATTCTCTCTCATAATTTTCCCTCTTTTTTTTTTTTTTTTTTTT